ACGAGGTTTCTATTGATTGTTCGAAAAGTTATCATAATATCAGAATCCTACACTCCCACAGGGTGTACCCTGGGATGGGGGGTGGGGGGTGGGGGGCCAGGAACTAATAAAAAAGAAGCAGACCACCTTCATAATTCCCACAATAAACCTTGGTTCAAACACTTAGCTATGATACCAATATGCAGTCGAACCTGCTTCTAAGGCCATCTGTATAAGACAATCACATGTACCACGATTATTTTGTTGAAACGTCATTGTGACACTATTTGGTCGCTTTTAAGGACAAGCGGGCTAACCCAGATTTGGGGGGGTTTCCAGAATTCTTGACCTACACCAAAAATGGGCATTGCCTTACCTGTAGGAGAAGTTTGGTTTCATTGGAGTGTATATTTGTTTGGTTATAAAGAACATTCTCCTTGTCTTTAAAAAAATACTAAATTGAATGTGTTCTTAAATACTAAAAATGAATGTGTTTTTAAATATTAAAAACGAATGTGCTATTAAATACTAAACATGAATGTGTTTTTAAATATTAAAAACGAATGTGCTATTAAATACTAAAAATGAAAGTGTAGCGGCCACGAGCCTACATGTACCCCCGGGGCAGTGCCACTGACTGAAGGGTCTTTAAGCCATTCCCAAAGGGGGGGCATTTCTTGTTCATGCACTGTAGAATTGTAAATGGGCTGATTCATCAATGTCACGCTCATAACTGAGCCTGATCTACAACAGGGAACTGCTGCTTTTTCTTTCTCAATCCTTACTATTGTCATTTTTCTCTACTTCTTTTGTAGGTTTGTCACTCTCTTGTGACCCACTATTTCCGGGGTGCCTTGATAGTCGAAGCAGAATTTGTGCTGTTGAAGCTAGATGGGTGAGCAGAGTAAATCTGATTCCCTGTAAGGACTTCTCTGTTGACATCCACCTCTTGGCGGTCATATGACCTTATGCAGTTGCGAGCGTCAAAAAAACCTCTACTGAAACTAACTAAAAACGAGTATACATGTAAACAATGGCCTCGCACCGACAAGACAACTCATGACTGACCGGGGGGCTGAGCG